AATGGAACAAGTTACCAAATATCATCATTAACTGGAATACGCTGAATAGCTTCAAACATAGGTTGGATGTGAGCAATGGGGTTGGGTGTAAACGGACTGCAGGGCTCAATAGGCCCGCTGCAGTTTCCTCCATTCTTATGTTCTTATGTTCTTAAGGAGAAAAGCAGAGAGAGAGAGAGAGAGAGAGAGAGAAGAGAGAGAGAGAGAGAGAGAGAGAAGAGAGAGAGAGAGAAGAGAGAGAGAGAGAGAGAGAGAGAGACGGGACGGTTGGTTGGCAGATGTTGCTATGGTGACGATGCTAGCTACTACCTGGCAGCAGGTCGCTTCTCCCCTCACGATAAGAGGAGGAAGAAGAGGGTGGCGTCAGACAAAGAAGGAGGGGGGGGGGCGGGGGACCGTAGGAGTCGAAGTGGTGTTCTAGGAGGGGAGCGAGAGGGCTATTGGCGCCTCTGGAGGGGATAAGGGGAAGAAGGGTCCTAAGATGGGAAGGAGAGGGGAAGTGGCGTTTTATGAGGAGTAAGATAAGGTTATGAAAGGTAGCTTATATTACTAGGTGACCTTTAGTGGTGACCTAGTAACCTATTAGTTGATCTATATGACTATTGACCTGCATTACTAGTAGGAAGGTGTAGGCTGATGGTGTAGGATGGGGGTGTAGGCTGAGGGTGTAGGATAGGGGTGTAGGCTCAGGGTGTAAGCTGAGGATGTAGGTTGAGTATGTAGGCTGGAAAAATCTGGAAAGGTAGGTTGGGTAGAAATGCTTATACTGGAGGGGGTGGACAGTGTGTGTGAGGGGTATTTGTAGCGCCAGTGGTCGCTTAGCAACACTCCGCCACACACGAGAGACCCAGCACACAACGATGCTCTTCAAACCTACCCCATACACACACACACACCACACACACACACACACTAAACCAAAAGTCATAAAGACACCCATTCACACACTCCAAAACTCAGACATACACAGAAATAATCATACAGACACTTAGATATTCATAAACGCATAAACTATTCTGTATACGTACACAATCAAGTCCTCACATACATTAAAACACACACACACACACACACACACACACACACACACACACATACTCTTAAATACGTCAGACATAAATACACATATTAATACATACACTTATACATATGTAGACTCTTACATTCATACTTCATACATACACCCATATGACCAAACAGTCACACAGTCCCAGAAATACACATACTGTACACTACATTCACTCATACAATACTTTATAAACTACACACACATCCATACACTCATACAAACTATTCATATATATATATATATATATATATATATATATATATATATATATATATATATATATATATATATATATAAAATTCATGTAGATCCAATGAAAAACGTGGATAAGATAAATCTTGATAAAATCACACGGGAAAAGGGAAACAACGGAGTAAGGGCAAGAGATATATGAGCGAGAGGTTCAGGGGAGGTATAGGTGCTCCGTTGTTTCCTTTTCCCGTGATTTTATATATATATATATATATATATATATATATATATATATATATATATATATATATATATATATATATATATATATATATATATATATATACAGTATTTCATTAGCCCAATAAAGAGTGATTCTACAATCGTGTTTCAAAGCCGGATTTGGTAAAACGTTACTCTGACCACTTACGTGATACGGGTAGTCCCTATTAGAGGTTCACGGCGCCATCAGCTCGTTGAACAGGCTTTTGTGAAATATAACAGAGTTCAGGACGGTTTAGTATTCTGGTGGTCCAGAGAGGCAGCTTCCTGGTCACAGTCAGGGCTGTGGGTTCGAATCGGTGGGTTGATTATATATATATATATATATATATATATATATATATATATATATATATATATATATATATATATACTGTACATACATACACTCGTACAAACTATTCACATACATATGATTAATTTTCATTTATATATATATATATATATATATATATATATATATATATATATATATATATATATATATATATATATATATAAATGTTCCGGGGAGACCAACAATTATGCCCCAAGTCGTTCTGTCCTTCCTGGGAATAAAACTGTTCATGACCCCAGTGGCCCATAACACCCCTGTTAATTGGTCACTTCCCTTGTTAACCCTCGCATAACGGGCCGTTCATTGGCCTTGAGAATGTCTGTCTGTTCGTCTGTCTGGATGAATGAGTGGGTAGATTGGTGGATGGTTACTAGATGTGTTGGATGGATGGGTAGATGGATGTATAAATGGATAGGTGTATGGCTGCTAGGTTTGATGGATGTATGGATGAGCAGGATGCATTCTTTATTAATACGCAAATCGCTCTCTCTCTCCATGTGTATGTATGTCTTTCTCACTACGTGTTTTTTCTCTATCTCATTGTCTTTCTCTCCCTCCCTGTCTCTCTTTAGTTTTGCCTTTTCACCCCTTCCTTACATCTCTAGGTGTAAGGGCAAAAGGCGAAGGGCAAGAGGCGAAGGGCAAGAGGCGAAGGGGCAAGAGGTGTAGGGCAAGAGATGTATGGGCAAGAGGTTCAGGGCAAGAGGTATAGGGCAAGAGGTGTGGGGAGCAAGAGATGTATGGGCAAGAGGTATAGGGCAAGAGGTGGGGGCAAGAGGTGTGAGGGCACGAGGTGAAGAGGTGAAGGGGCAAGAGGCGAAGGGGCAAGAGGTGTAGGGGCAAGAGATGTAGGGGCAAGAGGTTCAGGAGCAAGAGGTTCAGGAGCAAGAGGTAGGGGCAAGAGGTGTGGGGCAAGAGGTGTAGGGGCAAGAGGTGTAGGGGCAAGAGGTGTAGGATAAGGGTGTAGAGGTAAGGGTGTAGGGGCAAGAGGTGTAGGGCAAGAGGTAGGGGCAAGAGGTGTGGAGCAAGAGATGTAAGGGCAAGAGGTTCAGGGGCAAGAGGGAAAGGGCAATTGGTTTATGGGCAAGAGGTGTAGGGGCAAGAGGTGAAGGGGCAGATGCGAAGGGGCAAGAGGTAGGGGTGAGGGTGGGGTGCGGTGAAGCAAGAGGTAGGGGCAAGAGATGTATGGGCAGAGGTATAGGGCAAGAGGTGAAAGAGGCAAGGGCAAGGGATGTAGGGTAAGAGGTGAGGGAAGTGTGTAGGGTAAGGTGAAAGGGAGGTATAGGGGCAAGAGGTGTGGGGGCAAGAGGTGTAAGGGAAAGTGGTTCAGGCAAGAGGTAAAGGAGCATGAAGTAAGGGGCAAATGGTTTATGGGCAAGAGGTGTAGGGGCAAGAGGCGAAGGGGCAAGAGGGGGGTGTGGTGTAGGGGTGGGTGGGGAAGAGGTGAGGGGCAAGAGATGGGGTAAGTGGTGTAGGGTTTGTAGTGTAGGGGCAAGTGGTGTAGGGGCAAGTGGTGTAGGGGTAAGCGGTGTAGGGGCAAGAGGTGTAGGGCAAGAGATGTAGGGGTAAGTGGTGTAGGGTTTGTGTAGGGGCAAGTGGTGGGGTAAGGTAGGGGCAGAGAGGTGGGGCAAGAGATGTAGGGGTAAGTGTGTAGGGGTAAGTGGTTGTAGGCAAGTGGTGTAGGGGTAAGCGGTAGGGCAAGAGTGTAGGCAAGAGATGAAGGGTGGTGTAGGGGTGTGTAAAGGTGGTGTAGGGACAAGTGGTGAAGGAGCTAGGATTGAACACACACACACACACCTCTGCCGCAGGTGCACACCTGCTAAAGCTCATTATCAGTAATTACACACCTGTCACCACACATGCACATCTGTCACCACCTTAAGACTTCACCACCAATGTACACCTACACACACATGTACTGTACACCTGTTATGTAACCCTAAGTATCATGTACTGTACTTACGGACAAAATTCCCCGAACACTCACACACACGACACACAAGTGGATGTCAGAAATGTTGAGGGAATTTTGATCGGAACTGTACAGCTGTTGGGTGACTAGGGACTGGCGAGTTATTATTATAATTATTATCTTTATTATTATTATTATTATTATTATTATTATTATTATTATTATTATTATTATTGGCGCTCTTAGTCGTCATTTAAACAGTGTTCTTCCGAGCCCTTGGATATAAAACCTCTTCTTAGTGTCACTCCTAACCATAGCTTACACACATACAAACACACACACACACACACACCTGACTTCAATACACTTACTCCATTTCTAGATATCTCCCTACTGTTCTTCAAAGCAAATCTCGGTAACATTCTTCAACTCGTCATCCTGAAAGCAGCGCCCACCGAGATGCGGCTTTAGGTACCTGTAGATATTTGTGCTACACGGGGATGTGGAGGAGCAGCAGCACACCTCTAGTTAGCCATTTGTGAAGTGTCTTCCGGATGACTTCACACAGTCTTCGCATTAGGCTATGGTGATATAGTCGCTGGTAATTATTGTTTTATGTGGCAAGTAGTCGATAGGCAGAATTCCTTTGGTATCTCAGAAATTAAGGCCGTGTGTGTGTGTTTGTGTGTGGGGAGGGTATGGGTGACGTAAATGCGCTGGGTTCCTTCCCGAGGTAACACAGGTACTCAGTTTCACTTAGCAAATAAATTGCTATTTTAGTACACACGGGTCTCCTCCCGAGCCTCATTACCACAGGATGCTCTGACGTCATCCGGTGGTCAGGGTAGGATCCTCTGACGTCATTGAGAGTAGTAAATACACTTGATGTGATGACTAATGTTACCACTCATTTCCGAGCAGCGTTTATTGTCCAGATCCACTGCGCCCCAATCCTGGAGTTGCTAGTTTCAACCGGGACTGATACCTGTGTAGTGGACCTGTGACGGTCATTTTGCTGTGACGGGAACTGTACTTATTATTACGGGATCTGTGGTTACTGTTACAGCGCTGTGATTACTGTGACGTGACGAGAACTGTAGACGCAGTCACAGCTGTAGTTGATGTGACAGGCAGCGTACGGTAGTAAAGCTTAGTTGGTTACGAACAAGACTGGTTACGATCGAGGAGGAGGCAAGACAACAACGAAGATGAGGACGACGGTGTTGAGGCTGACGTGGACTGTGGTGGTGGTGGTGAGGAGTGTCGAGGCCGCCACCATCCTGCAAGGTGAGTCTCTGGTACTCTCTGTTTCTTTCTCACCGTTTAGGTGAGATTAAGTAGATCTGATAATGTCGTGTAGTGCTTGATAAGCATGTAATGGTATTAAGAGCTTAAGAAAAAAAATAGGCCGGTTGGCCTGGTACATGGCAGCTCCTGTCGAGAGTTACTACCACTTTCTATCAGCCGTGAATCTATCTAGCCTCCTTTTAAAACTTTCCAGCGTTCCAGCACTTACTACAAAGTTGCTAAGCTTGTTCCACTCGTCTACCACTCTATTTGTGACCCAGTTCCTTCCTATCTCCCTCCTAAACCTAAACTTATAACTTAAATCCATTGCTACGAGTCCTATCTTGTTCGGATATTATAAGAGCTTTATCTATATCTCCTTTTTTGATTCCTTTCACCCACTTAAATACTTCTATCATATCTCCCCGCACTCTTCGTCTTTCTAGGGAATGCAATAATTGTCCTTTTATTATTTACAGTTTGGGTGAAAATAACGATAAATAACTAACGTTTTCTGTTCATATAATGATGGACTTGTTGATAATACAGGAAACTAAATCACAATTACTTCAGAAGCTCGCCTGATGGTCAACGAGGATCCCAGCGCCCCGGGAATTGTTTGGGAAAATACTAGCGGTTCTCATCACACTACCCGTGAGGAAACATCATCACCCGAGGAAGACCATAAGGAGGAGGAGGATGGGGAGGAAGACTGGGGGGACTTCGAGGAGACACCACCACCAGAGGAAGACCAAAAGGAGGAGGAAGATGGGGAGGAAGACTGGGGAGACTTCGAGGAGACACCACCACCCGAGGAAGGGAGTAACGCCATCAGAGTGTCAGGAAGGGTGAGACACTCGTGGCCTGCCTCTACCATCCCTTACGAGGTCCACGGCGCCAGTGTTACCAGTACGTCCCCTCATGACTGTACAGTATAGTTTATCTAATAATAATAATAATAATAATAATAATGATGATAATAATAAATAATAATAATATTTATCTAGCTTGGTAATATCAGGTCAGTATTCAGTACTGTACTATAGTTAACTGACGAGTGTCGCGTTCCCCCAGAGCGTCGCGTGATGACTGCTCTTAACACCTTGGAGAAGCTCACCCACCTCACGTTCACGGTGGGTCCACACACACACACACACACACACACACACACACACACACTTATTAAATAACTTTTTATATGAAAGTTGATCAAGACTTGTGGTTTTGTAAAAGAGGTGAAACATTTTTTGTTGTTGCTGTTCTGAAGATCTCGAACCAATGAATTCACACGTTGGTTGATGATGTTACGTGACCAACAGAGGCGGACTGGTGAGGCGCGCTACCTGCTGGTGAAGGAAGGCGCTGATGGTGGTGGTGGGTGTAGGACCTCCTCAAGTGGACTGGACAAGGAGGTCAGTTCCTGGTCTCTCACGTACCGGAGGTCACTCCCAGGTCACTGTAGGTCAATCTTCTCGGTATTTAGGTCACCACAGGTCATGTCTTTTTAGTACCTTGGTCATCACAGGTCACATATTTCCATACCCAATTCATCACTGATCATAAATTTTAATACCTAGGTCACCACAGGTCACACCTGTCAATACCCAGGTCATTACAGGGTCGTATCTATCAATACATAGGTCATCACATGTCGTGTCTCATAATACCCAGGTCCTCATAGGTCACATCTATTAACTACCCAGGTTATTACAGGTCGTATCTATCAATATCCAGGTTATTACAGTTCATATCTATCAATCCCCAGGTCATTACTAGTCGTATCTCTCAATACTCAGGTCATTACAAGCCGTATCTCTCAATACCCAGGTCATCACAGGTCATATCTATCATAAGAACATAAAACAACAAGAAAATAAGGAGTCTGCAATAGGCCGGTTGGCCTGTGCATGGCAGCTCCTGTCGAGAGTTACTACTACTCTCTATCATCCATGAATCTATCTAGCCTCCTTTTTAAACTTTCCAGCGTCCCAGTACTTACTACAAAGATGCCAAGCTTGTTGCACTCGTCCACCACCCTATTTGTGAAACAGTTTCTTCCTATCTCCCTCCTAAACCTAAACTTATCCAACTTAAATCCATTGCTACGAATCCTATCCTGCTCGGATATTATAAGAACTTTATCTATATCTCCTTTATTGATTCCTTTCACCCACTTAAATACTTTTATCATATCTCCCCGCACTCTTCGTCTCTTTCTAGGGAATGCAAGTTTAGTTTCTTTAATCTATCTTGATAGGGAAGGTTTCTAAGTCATCACAGGTCATATCTATCAATACCCAGGTCATTACAGGTTCCAAGTTGAGTTGTGATTAAAGTTTATTTATTGACCTTATCTAACTTCCGAGTATGGTGAATTAGTCTTTATTTCTACACATCACTTACTATGCCTGAATGACTGTCATTCATTCATTCATGCTCGTCATTTATTCATTAATTCACGTTATTCATTCATTCTTTTACGTCATTTTTTCAATCATGTTGTTCATTCATTCATTCAAATAATTTGTTTATATAAAAACATAATAATGGAGGAAACTGCATAATTGGCCCATACTGGGCAGTCCCGTTTACACCCAACCCCTATCGCTCATATATCCATCCAACCTCTGTTTGAATCTATCCAGCGTATTCGAGTTAATGATGATGTTTGGTAACTTGTTCCACTCGTCCACTATTCTATTTTCAAACCAATGTTTACCTATCTCGCGCCTAAATCTAAATTTGTCTGATCTAAAACCATTGCTACGAGTTCGCTCCTGGTTGGATAGTTTGGGTACCTTTGTTATATCACCTTTGTTTAGCCCTGACTTCCATTTATACACCTCGATCATGTCGTCCCTCACTCTACGTCTCGAGGAGTGCAAATTAAGATGCTTTAACTTGTCTCTGTACCCAAGGTTCCTAATGCCCGGGATTAGTCTTGTCATTTTCCTCTGAATTCTTTCTAGGAATTCTATATCCATTAAGAAGTATGGTGACCAGAACTGAACCGCGTAACCCAAGTGGGGTCTCACAAGAGCAAGATAGATTTTTGGGATAACCTCGGAAGTCTTGTAACTAACACTCCTTTGTATGAGCCCAAGTACTTTGTTAGCCTTGTTTCGAGCAAATACACATTGTTGTCTTGGTTTAAGATTCCTACTTATCATTACAAGATTCGAACTTATCATTAGAGTCCTACTTTGATTACAGTTCACTTTATATATGTATTCAATGCGTCCAATATGTATCTTATTATGTAATGTGTATTTATCTCGCCATACCTGTATACATGTCTCTGCTATGTATTCATTATGTATTTGTTCATATAATCTCATTTAGTATATACATGATACATAAACAGCCATATACTGTAATGATACATTTTATATCTTTTATACATGAAAGGAAAATTATTCATTCACACAAATTATGCTACAGTATTATACACGGTTGATATAACACCATTCATACAACCCCACTATCTCTGTTCTCTTATTAATTAATCATCTACATAACCCATAAAAAATTACAATAATAAGGGAGGGATTAATTCACACATTACCCACCGAATATACGGGGTCAACTAACTCTGCTATCTCATCATACCAGATTGATTTATGTATCGTCTACTTATAATAGACGTGGCTAATCTATTTCTCTGGGGTTGGTGTGTGGTGTTGTGTGGTGGTGGTGGTCGGGGGGTGTGGCACAGGTAGTGGTGGTGAGCCTTGGCCCGGCTGCAACGTGCGTCAGAGGATCGTGGATGAGGTGTTGCAGGCAGCGGGCATCTTGCAAGAGGTGTCGAGCTAGACCATCACCTTCATCGTGTTGTAGTGAAGAGCAACAGCAAGGGCGGTGAGTAGGAGAGGACAGCGTGATGATAGCGTGAGGATAGGATTAGGATTGCGTGAGGATAGCGTTGAGATATCATTAGATAACTTTAGAATAGCGTGAGGATAGCATTAGAATACCTTCAGGATATTGTAAGGATAACAATGTGCTTGTAAAATTTCAGTGCACTGCAATGACAGGTTTGGGTTAGGAAAGTGTCAGGGTAGTGCCAGGGAAGTCCCTAGCCTGATATAGGTGGGAAATGTGTCAAGTAGCCGTTCTGGGAGAGTACCTACGGACAGTTCTACTCTGAATCACCTATATAAAGTAAACATACAACAGGTAATTGCTGAATGTAGTTACACCTGCCTAATTATATCCTTTGAGAGAGATACAAAATTATTTCATTAAGTTTCATTAAATTAAAAAAAATAAAAAGATCGAGTCAATTAATCTTTCGTGAATGGATATAGAAATTTTATTTATAACAAAGAGATTAATATTTTTTTGGTCAAGTTCCTGTTTGTCTACATCAGTTCGAATTCATAAATTATCAGATATTCACAATGTAAGTATATGAGGTGTCATGTATACGTGAATGTCTCAATGGGTGTTTGTGTATGTTATGTAGTTCTGTGTACAGTATATGTCCTGTATGTTTCATTGGATGTGTGTGTGTGTGTGTGTGTGTGCGTGTGTGTGTGTGAACGATGTATGATCATGAGCAAAAAAATTATGAGTGGTACTAATAATGGATACAGCCCCCCTCCCCATGCAAATGAAAAACAAGAAAACGAAATAAAACTTGGTCACAATCATGTCCACATTTTTTGCCTTTGAAATATTACTTTGATATCGAAACAAGAAAACAAACAAACGAACGGACCAACCACTGAGGATTCCTCCCCTCTCCACCGCATTTCGCAAGTACTGTACACTTCTGCGCACCAAGAAAGGGGTGGAGGAAGTTGGGGAGAGGAAGGTCTGTACAACACACCCGTTACATCTTTCAGGTGTTAAGAGATGACTGTTGGCGACATCTCCTTCACCGCCCTCCTTCCCTCAATCAACCCATCCCTCCCTCCTTCCTTCCCTCACCCCTTTCACTCTCAAGTCTCTCCTCATCTCTACACTCTCATCCTTCCTTGCCTCTCTCAAGTCCCTCCTCACCTCTTCACTCTCTCTCACCTCCTCCTGCCTTCCTCACCTCTCTCCTCGCCTCGCCTCTAGCATCATCGTCACTTAACAGGTAAACATAAATCATCTCACACACACGTGTACTGCTGTGAAATAAACATCCATATATGACACACACGTACGGGTAGATGAAAGAAACGCATTTATTGTATTCTTTCTTCTTTCACCAGGAACCAAGAGAATACGTTGGATTTATTTACAGAGAAGAGCGTCTTGCGTGTTCCTTAGGCCTACAATTCTACTATATAACCTGTGGGAATTCGTCTCTATGAAGGTAAGGTTGTGGTGGTGGTGGTTGGTAACGGGTGGTAGTGGTTGATGGTGGTTGGTGATGGGTGGTTGGTGATGGGTGGTGGTGATGGTATAGGTGGTGGTAGTGATGGTGATACTATTGATTGATGAATTTAATTGAAATTGAATTTCACAGCGGGCAACTGCTAGTTCATTGTGCATCCCTTACCCATCCAGTGAGCTGAACAGCCATAATAATTACAGAGGTCACTCATGATGTACAGGTATATATAACAGATCCCAGTGGTCAGGATATTGTGGGCCTGAATGTTACAGAGTATTACCAGTACATTTTCTTGTTTAGTTCAGCACATAAAAGTTGACTTAGCTACTCGGCGCAACAGTCTTAATATTGCAGCTACCTTGCCATTAGAGATATAGTGCTGTGTCATTACACGCACAGTGCGACTGGACCTGTCTGTAAAAGATTCTATAATCTCACGGTCTAGGACGTAAGTGCTCGGGTGTGTGGTCATACTGTGTGTCTGGCCGTACACTTTACACGAGGGACATACAGTACTGCTACGGGTATACAGTACTGATATCCCAACCCTATAGTCTAGCAGTTACAGCAACTTGTAATACTTGCTCCATGTACATGTTTTACTTGATACATATCATCATGGTAAACAATGGATTAACTGATGCCTGTTTACACTTGTCTGCTTGCTACTAATTCACCAACAAGTTCTTTTTTGATTACGGATTTTAGGGTTCAGTTTGACAGACCAAGATTGTATTCAACAACAGTGTCTTTGTTAGGTGCGAGTTTAGCTGGGCATCAAGTACTGTGTTCACTGTGACTCACTGTGACCTACACATGTGAGAGGGGATCCACTGCAGCTTGATCTTGACACTCGGCAACAAGGCACACATTTTTGTGTCTGGCTTCAGAGACAATTGAATGAGACTCTGACTTGAGGGTGTTAATTAAGAGCAAGTAGTGAGGCTGGGGAGTCTGTGATGATGAGACTGTCTGTGTTGGAGACGTCTACCAGTCTGATGGCTGTGAGTATGACAAATAGTACAATTTGTAGAGTGGAAGCAAGTTATTTAATCAGACTACTTTCATCTAGTTTATTACCGTGAGGATGAATCACAATGGCACTTAGCAACACTTCCAGGCCTCCCCCAGGCAGCGTTGAGAGAGCCATCAATGTAGATCGTCTGTATGATGTTGTTTTCAATCTGTAGGTTATGTACGTGTGTTTCAGGTAAGGTCTGTGAGTAGTCAGCCGTTTGGGCGGGTATGTGGGTGTTGGGATGCCGAAGGGAACAATTCGTCAGGGTGGCAGAAGGCGATGTTGTGTCTCAACTTTGTGTAAGTAATGGTGGTGGTAATGATGATGATGACGATGATGGTGGTGATGGTGGTAGTGTTGGTGATGGTGGTAGTGGTGGTGATGGTGGTAATGATAGTGATGGTGGTGATGGTGGTAATTATGGTAATGATGGTAATGGTGGTATTGATGGTAATGGTGGCGATGGTGGTAATGATGGTGATGGTGGTAATGGTGGTAATGGTGGAGATGGTGGTAATGATTGTGATGGTGGTGATGGTGGTAATGATGGTAATGGTGGTAATGATGGTGATGGTGGTAATGATGGTGATGGTGGTAGTGGTGGTGATGGTGGTAATGGTGGTAATGATGGTGATGGCGGTGATGGTGTGGTAGTGGTGGTGATGATGGTGATGGCGGTGATGGTGGTAGTGGTGATGATGATGGTGATGATGGTGATGGCGGTAGTGGTGGTGATGGTGGTAATGATGGTGATGGCGGTGATGGTGGTAGTGGTGGTGATGGTGGTGATGATGGTGATGGCGGTGATGGTGGTAGTGGTGGTGATGGTGGTGATGATGATGGTGATGATGGTGATGGCGGTAGTGGTGGTGATGGTAATGATAATGATGGCGGTAGTGGCGGTGATGATGGTGGTAATGATGATGATGATGGCGGTAGTGGTGGTGATAGTAATTATGATGATGTTTAAAATATATACTACAGGCTCACTTGACCATACATACTTCATCACTACCACAGTACATAATATAGTAAAATAAAAGATTCACAAAGAACGCGTGACCCTTAGGTGCGAGGTGTGTGTGTGTGTGTGTGTGTGTGGTCGGAAGTGACTGCTGGCACCTGGGATGAGGGGAGGTGGTGGTGGTGGGGAGGAGGATGAGGCCCTCCCACCTGGACAAACACAGGATCAATACCTACCATCACCGTCACCACCTGTCATCCTACCCACCCATCCTTACCTTCCTCTCACCTGCCACCACCTGCCTCTCCCTCTCCTCTCACCTGCCACCACCTCTCCCTCCTGTCCCTAACCTACCATCTGTCCCACCTCACACTTACCACCACCTGTCACGCCCTCACCACCTATCCCCATCTGTCACACCTCTCCCTCACGTACCACCACCTGTCCTTCCCTCCCACCACCTGTACACCTCCCCTCACCTGTACCTCCCACACACCTGTCCACCCCCACCACACATTATCACCACCTGTCAATCCTCCCCCACCTATCACCACCTGTCATCCCCTCTCCCCACCCATCCTACCTTCCTCTCACCTGCCACCACCTGCTCCTCCTCCCTCTCACCTGCCACCACCTGCTACTCCTGTCCCCTAACCTACCATCACCTGTCCACCTCACACTTACCACCACCTGTCACGCCCTCCACTCACCTATCCCCATCTGTCACACCTCTCCCCTCACGTACCACCACCTGTCACCACCTTCCCTAACCTCCCACCACCTGTCACACCTCCTCACCTGTCACCACCTCCCACACACCTGTCACACCCCCTCCACCTCACATTATCACCACCTGTCAATCCCTCCCCTCACCTATCACCAACTGCCACTCCTTCCCCTCACCCGTCACCACCTCCTCTAATCTCCCACCACCTGCCACTCTCTCCCTCACCTATCATCACCTGTCACTCCCTCCCCTCACCTACCACCACCTGCCACATCAACCCCCTCTCACCTATCACCACCTGTGACCCCTCCACCTCCCCTCCCCAACCTACCTGCACATCAACCCCTCTCACCTACCACCACCTGCCACATCAACCCCTCTCACCTATCACCACCTGTGACCCCTCCCTCCCTCCCAACCTACCACCACCTGCCCACATCACCCCCTCTCACCTATCACCCACTGGCCTCCACCTCCCCTCCCAACCTACCACCACCTGCCACATCAACCCCCTCTCACCTACCACCACCTGCCACATCAACCCCTCTCACCTATCACCACCTGTGACCTCTCCACCTCCCTCCCCCAACCTACCACCACACCTCTACCATACGTTGTCACACTCTGCTGGATCTAAGAATTTATGCTTTTAACACCAATCACCATTAAGCCATACACCAACACTCATACACAAACAAGTGACCATACAAACACACACATACACGGATATATATTTTGTATACAGGACACACACACGACACATGATACAAGACACACACACACACACACACACACACACACACGACACATGATACAAGACACACACACACACGACACATGACAGAGACACACACACACACGACACATGATACAAGACACACACACACACACACACACACACACACGACACCAAGACACACACACACACACACACACACACACACGACACATGATACAAGACACACACACACACACACACACACACACGACACATGATACAAGACACACACACACACACACATGATACAAGACACACACACACGACACATGATACAAGACACACACACACACACACACACACACGACACATGATACAAGAACACACACACACACACACACACACACACACACGACACATGATACAAGAACACACACACACACACACACACGACACATGATACAAGAACACACACACACACACACACACACACACACACACACGACACATGATACAAGACACACACACACACACACACACACACACACACGACACATGATACAAGACACACACACACACGACACATGATACAAGACACACACACACACACACACACGACACATGATACAAGACACACACACACACACACACACACACACACACACGACAAATGATACAAGACACACACACACGACACAATGATACAAGACACACACACACGACACATGATACAAGACACACACACGACACATGATACACACACGACATGATACAAGACACACACACACACACGACACATGATACCAGAACACACACACACACACACACGACACATGATGAACCTTACACGCACACGACACATGATACAAGACACACACACGACACGCGTCTGAACACACACACGACACATGATTACAAGACACACACACACACACACGACACATGATACAAGACACACACACACGACATGATGCAAGACACACACACACGACACACATGGTCTGAACACACACACACACACACACACACACACACACACACACACACACACACGACACAATATTCTGAGAACCCCACACACGACATGATAGGAACACACACACACGACACATTACAAGAACACACACACACGACACATGATACAAAGACACACACACACACACACGACACATGATACAAAGACACACACACACACACGACACATGATACAAGACACACACACACACACACGACACATGATACAAAACACACACACACGACACATGATACAAGACACACACACACGACACATGATACAAGACACACACACACACACAACACATGATGCAAGACACACACACACACACACGACACATGATCTGAAGACACACACACACACGACACATGAATACAAGACACACACACACACACACACACACACACACACACACACACACGACACATGATCTCAGACCGCACACCACCACGACACGCATGATACCGAACCGCGACGCATCATACAGACACCACACACACGACACATGATGCAAACACACACGACACATGATACAAA